AGTCAACAATTGGAAAGAATCACATGAGGTTGTATGAATGAGAATGTAGTTCATATGATTGAGTGCAAATAAATAGGGAAATATTCATTGAAGGGTGTAGAGTTAAAGGACTTTAAAGTGACAGGTTAAAGCCCCCATTTTGGTTTATTATTTTAGGTTATAATACAAGATGTTAGCCCCCAGGTGGAGGGAACTCTAGAGTGAGAGCTAGTATCTTCCCTGGAGAGCTAGTATCCTGTATTAGAGAACTCTAGAGTGAGAGCTAGTATCTTCCCTGCTTAGCCGGTCTTTAGAACTATTCAAACTTTAAATTAGCAAGGGTTCTTTATAGCATCTCTAGTAAGGGTAAAGAATATTATTGCTCATATTTGGCACAACACAATACGCATACTTCTACAGCAGAATTCCTATACTTATTACTGATTCATAATAAGGAGAAAGATATTTTCATATTTAGTGTTTTTTTTCTATAAAAACTCAAGTTATCTTTTTAAGATCAAAGTCAAATGAATCGTGATGATCCTATTGAATATTAAAATTACCAAAAATATTTAAACTTCCTTTACTGTGAAAATGTCTTTAGTTTAAATAATTATCTTTTTAAAAATAGAAAGTTTTCTGAAAAGTGCATATTACATATTTTCCCTGTGGATTCGATATTCAGGTCTTAATCATAAAGTCCTATATTACTTGATAACGATACTTGATAACTTGATAACGATACGTATACTTGCGTAGTATCCCAATATATATAAATTAAAAGTTAAATTCTTATTTTTTCTTCAGGATCAAGTTTTTGGTTTTGCTACGAAATAAAGAAATATAAGTGAAAAATATTATCAGAATAATTGTTATACTGTTGCATATAAGCAGTTATCGGGGATCAAGCAACAAACGGTATGACTGTGCTAAAATGTGTCATAAGCGTCATGGACCCTCATTTATGGTCCGCTATTTTAAAAGTATAAAAATTGATATTTTTACTATATTAAGTATTAACAACCCTACTTTTAAAATTATGAGTTAGGCCATGTGTGAGGCCACTTATTTTAAAATGTCACTCCTCTCTTGTGACATACTTTAGAACCCTTGGATCATTAGGAAGGAGACAATTTGGCAATCCCGTTAAAGTCATATGATAACTGGAGACTTTACCTTACGCACTTAAGCGTTGGTTAGGTCACCTTTCATTAGATGATGTGCTAGGCTAGGATATAGGAGGTTGGGTAGTCATTTTGATTTTTGGTTATCGTTCTTTGCTAGTTTGGTTTCCTTGGGTAGACATCCTTGTGCTTGTAGTGTGCCTACATACTTGATATGCTTGGTAGTGTGTTTGGGCATCCATCTATAGGGAGTCATGCCTATGTGTGCACACACAAAGGTACAATAAAATAAGGAAGCATGTAATGATTTACATGCTGATGTTTGCTTGCAGGTGCTGCTTAGCTCACCCACTGAGCATGACTCATTATGCATTGCATGGCTTTCCCGACTAATCTTTTTTTCATGCAGCTCGAGTCTTTTCTCATTTTTCTATGTACTTTTTAGAGTCCTAGGAGAGTTGTATAGCAAAAGTAAGATACGAGCACGGGTTCCGAGGCATTTTGGAGTGGGAACCACATGATGGGGACAGGGAGCAAATACTTGTGCCCTATATCTTAATTTTATATTTGATATTCTTGTAAAGAATTAGGATTGGGCATGTTTATGCAGAGTCTGACTACCTTTTATATATTTTACTTGGCTTGTAAGGAATACTTGTGCCCTCTTTTTGAGATATGAAAATTTATCCTTTTTCCTTATGACCCAGACGTACTTTAACATAGTAGGATATCTTAGTCAAACTTATTATGGTAATTTTGTGGGGTTTATATATAGAGGATTCACTACCCATTTGGGATGTAAGAGACTCACTCTCTGCCTGATGGCATAGTGTGAGCATTGAAGCACTAGGACTCTCTCAATAGAATAACCTTTCTTTGATGACCTATTTCCCTAGGTCTATGATAAAATGAGTGAAACCCCTTTTATCGAGAGTATCCTTGGGTATCCCCTGAGATGCAATTAATAAAGTGGGATATGTCCCCTTGAGAGTACTCTTGATCACAAAACATGTAGATACACTTGAACATCTAGTTATGAGTAGTCTATGCATGCACTCTTTCGCGGATACTAGTCTAAGATGCTTCTACCTGATCTTTTTTGGCAGACATGTTTGACCTATTCTTGCGAGATTTATTACACATAAGCTCTCCACATTTCTTCTTTCTTGTGTATGTCATCTTTGTTGCATGTCTATCTTTTCCGATTCCTCCCTTTTTTCTGATCATTCATATGATTCAGAAGAAAGATTTATTTGAAAAAGGAATGTATATGATGATCGATAAGCTGACGAGTACTTTTAAAACATAAAATAAGAAAGTAATGAAAACACTTAAATCTTTCCTTCTTAAGTGGGATGTAAGTCCTTATGCTTTCCTGTCAAGCATGGACATTTTCAAATCTTAAATCTTTTCGTCTTAGGTGAGATGTAAGTCCTTATGCTTTCCTACCAAGCATAGACATTTACAAATCATAAATCTTTCTGACTTAGGTGGGATTTAAGTCGTTATGCTTTTCTGCAGAGCATAAATATTTTCAAATCTTAAAAAATTTTATCTTAGGTGGGATGTAAGTCCTTATGTTTTTTTTGCCGAGCATAGACGTTTCAATTCTTAAGACTTTATGCAGCTGTCGACCACCATCAAGCATCGTTTGTCAACCACTGTTGACCACTCTTGGCTAACCCTTGCTCATTGCAGCAAAATCTTGTTCAGGGTCAAGACGTACATTGATGAGTAATGAAGTATAACACCGAATAACATGTATCATTGCAGAGTAATGAATTCAACCTACGGAGGAACACATTGTCCTGCGAACGGTGTAGCCACACGTCTTGAAGATGGTATACTGAGGTACTTGTCAACTATTCAAACTGCGACTGCTCCAACCGCTGAACAATAATTCATTCAGAATACTAATATTGTACTTTAATGAACTATGTAACCCTTTCCCGCTCATGGAATAAGGGCCCGAATGTGTAAACACTAACTCATAGTGGATCATTTTAGCTGAGCTAGATCCCGTGATTTCTTCTTAGGGTTTTCAACATAAGAACTTCTGGTGTCTCTATTTGTTACTTCTATTATCTAACTGTGAAATTTTGTGCAATTCAAAATGCAAAATAATCACTCTATCGTTTCAAATCTTCTAACATACATTAAAACCTTTTGAGTTTTGTGGATATCTTACTCCTTAGAGTAGAGTTTCATTGTTCTTTTTTCTACTTTTGCTCGCCGTCTTGTGTTAATTGATGTGAAGGAATTTTTTTTTATATACTAATTACATATATTCATTCAACTTTTTTTTGATTTTTTGGGGCTAATATTTTCTTTATTTTTTTTTCAAGTTCTTTTTTTGCACTCTTTTTTTTTTGATAATTTTTTATCTATTAAACAAAATTTTTTTGAGGCTTGGCCCTCACTGCTCTAAAAATAAATAAATAATTATTTAAATAAAAACAGCACTAGCACGTGGTAACGGTTCCCGGAAAAACCTGTGAACCGTGTACCGTTTTTGAACCAATCGCTGGAGCCGCAAAAGCCAGCAGCGTTGACGATGGGGTTTTCACCCCTGTTTCCCGTCCTTTTCTTCTTTCCAAAATTCTCTTTCAGGAAATCCGACCTAGCTCGGTCGTTCCGCACCCGCACCGTTGCGTCGCAGTCTATTGCGATGACGCTTTGTAAACCGGTCTTCTTCACCTTCCTATCGCCATAAGCTGGAATTTAGCGCAATAAATTCACGCACAGGGTTCCATTTGTATCCCATTAACTGTTTAATCTTTTTTATTGGTGACCGTCAATGGCCGACTTAAGTGCCGTGTGAGATCATGATATCGAACGAAACTCTTGCTCTGCGCCTTGTCTAGTTAACTGTCCTAAATGTAAGAATCTCTAGTCTGTCCCGCTCGAGGCGAGGCTTTGGACGCGAATTCGTTAGATTTGTAACCCGGGATGCCAGGGGCCGTGGCCGGTAATGTCATGCCGGCGTGGCCGGCGGCGGCGGAGGCCCCGGGGCAGAACCGGCGGTTGCCAGACTTCTTGCAGAGCGTAAATCTTAAATATGTTAAGCTGGGCTACCACTATCTGATCACGCATCTGCTTACGCTGCTGGTGCTCCCATTGATGGTGGTCATACTAGTCGAGGCCAGCCGAACTGATCCCCAGGATCTCCGGAAGTTATGGAACCACCTCCAGTTCAATCTTGTGAGCATTCTCGTTTGCTCCGCCGTGCTAGTTTTCGGCATCACCGTCTACATCATGACGCGGCCACGAGCAGTCTACCTCGTCGACTACGCTTGCTACCGCCCGCCCGACCGACTCCAGGTCCGGTATTCGCAGTTCATGGAGCACTCTCGCCTGTGTGGTAACTTCAACGAGTCGGCCCTCGAGTTCCAGCGCAAGATCCTGGAGCGATCTGGCCTCGGCGAGGAAACTTATGTTCCCGATGCCATGCACTATCTTCCCCCACGCCCATCCATGGCCGCCGCTCGCGACGAAGCCGAGCAGGTTATGTTCGGTTGCCTCGACAAGCTTTTCCAAAACACCGGTGTAAAGCCCAAGGATGTTGGCATCCTCGTCGTAAACTGCAGCCTCTTTAATCCTACTCCATCCCTCTCGGCCATGATCGTTAATCGCTACAAGTTACGCGGCAACATCCTCAGCTTCAACCTCGGCGGCATGGGTTGCAGCGCCGGAGTCATCTCCGTCGACCTTGCCCGCGATCTCCTCCAGGTCCACCGCAACACCTACGCCGTCGTCGTCAGTACTGAGAACATCACTCAGAACTGGTATTTTGGCAACCGAAAATCAATGCTCATCCCCAACTGTCTATTCCGTGTTGGCGGGGCCGCCATCTTGCTTTCCAACCGCTCCGCCGACCGCCACCGCGCCAAGTACCGACTCGTCCACGTCGTGCGCACCCACAGCGGCGCAGATGACAAAGCCTTCCGGTGCGTGTATCAGGAGCAGGACGACGATGGCAAAGTAGGAGTTTCTCTCTCCAAGGACCTAATGGCGATCGCTGGGGGTGCCCTTAAGACCAACATTACCACCCTTGGTCCCCTAGTTCTCCCCATCAGCGAGCAGCTCCTTTTTTTTGCCTCGCTGGTAGCCAAGAAGCTGTTCAACTCCAAGGTCAAGCCTTATATCCCTGACTTTAAACTCGCCTTTGAACACTTCTGCATCCATGCCGGAGGTCGGGCAGTTATCGATGAGCTCGAGAAGAATCTCCAGCTTCAGCCAATCCATGTCGAGGCCTCGAGGATGACGCTTCACCGATTTGGGAACACGTCTTCCAGCTCAATCTGGTACGAGCTGGCCTATATTGAGGCCAAGGGGAGGATGCGGAAAAGCAATCGGGTGTGGCAAATTGCTTTCGGCAGCGGTTTTAAGTGCAACAGTGCAGTTTGGCAGGCCCTCCGTAAGGTGAAGCCGTCCCAGGGTGGGCCTTGGTTGGACTGCATCGATAGGTACCCTGTTCAGATTATTGATGGGATTCCTGCTTTTCAGCATCAGCAATAACAGCAATCATGCCTCGCTTAAAACGAGTTCAACCATTTTATTTTTCATGTAAACCTGCTTGGATTGTTCTGAACACTATAGAAGATTATGGGATCGGCCATGATGATTAGTTTTTTCGGCTCTTTCAGTAATTTTTTCTATTATAGTACTTCCTGCCGTAAGTTCATCCATCTCTTTCACTTAGTTGCTTGTGAATTTGCAGAGTCACTGAAATATTTGAAGTGCTATTGTTTTAATCTAACATTGTGAAATATTTCGCTTATCAAACCTTCGTTTACATGAGATAAACTTGTGGAGCGAATCACACTTTATTTCTGGTTTCTAGTCTTTTTTTCATCCATGTTCATAAAGTGAGTCATATAAGTTGTTATTTCATATTCACTGAGAAGGTTATTTGTTTTCGTATATACACTGTGTTTCTATTTGATCTGACTTCGAGGCTTCATGTTTGTTGTCAGCTTCTTTTGCTTACCTATATGTAACTGCAAATCTTTCCCATTGCAATCACTTAAATTTCGTTACATTTGGGCTACTTTTGAACTTGCTTCTGCTGGCATGTTTACAATGGACGCTTGAATGTGATTAAATTTGTATGAAGGTTAGTGGTCTTGTGAGTTGTGACCAAATATTGTGATTACGGAGGATCATTATTTTTTTAATGGAATAGAGGTTATTAAAAATTGGTTTAGAATCATTCGGATAGTTTTCAGATTTCTTTTAAGAGTCCCATTAGTTTTTAGAAGAGATTGATCAAGTTTACCCTTTTAAGTTTGTCCACAAAGCGGTTAACCATTACCTGAAATTTGATAAAAAGAAGGCATAGATTATGGAGCTTAGTATTAAAATAGAAACCAACTTCATCCACAGCGCAAGACTTAGTCTAGTTGTGGTAAGGGCCCGCATATTGCTGAGAACATTGATGAAGAATGAGAGCACAATGTGCAGATGAGTAAGAACCACCACTAGTTAGACACTCACCTCCTTTTTTAAGGCGGATTTCAAATTTGAGTTGCCCATCTTTGATGGCATGCTAAATGTTGATAGCGGGGATAGTTTACATTTTTAGAAACTCATCACTAGTAGAAATTTATTATTTCCTTTTATGAGTAAATGCCAATGTTGAAAAATTTATTCCCATCGGAAAAAGTTGTCCTATGTACTTATGTTGTGTAATTCAGGATTCTTAAATTACGACCTATCAAAAATGATATGATTGTACTTTAATAGATTAATGAAGGCCTAATTTTAACTCTGTCATGAGAGGAAAAGTTGTTCTGATGGTAGCAATTTTGGTTGAGATATGGTTGTTGGTATAACATTGTATTGAGTTTAGAAAACAATGCTTCTCCCAAAATTTTTCATTACGATATCTATCTTGTTTATACAATGAAGCTTCTCCCTAAATCTTTAATCTCAGGATATATTATTTTATATGAAATTCATTGCAAAACTATATGAACAGCTTTAAAGGGAGCCGACTATTGCAGACAATAGTTTAAAAACCTTTAGTTTGGAGAGAAACAAAGATAGCAGCATAACTCTGAGGATTCCCCAAGGCAATGACCAAAAAAATAAAAAGGAACATTTTGAAGGAGGTATAATACTAAAGGAAAGATCTTATTATAGTGAATGTCATTTGAGCGGCCATTAAGATGCTTTGTTAATAGTCACTTCCTGAAAAAAAGTTACCTAGGATGGAGGCTACAACTACTTTTAACCTTGGAAGGAGTAGATCATAGAATTTGGATGAGTACAATCGAAAAATCCTGCTACATTATAGGCAATGTAAGCTTACAAATGAGTTCTTCAACATCATGGTCAGCAATTTTGTGATAAAAATTCTTATTGACATAGTTACTTACAATAGCCTTGTTTCTTTTGCTTTTGGTTCAGAGGTTAAGGTTGTATTTCACATATCACTGAAAGCCTTACGATGGATTGTGAGTAATATATGTTATATGATGGGGTATCATTGTAAAGTTTTCTATTACAGAGTCTTAAATTAGTGGTCTTCCCTGGGATGCACTTTCATTGATTGTTTGTTTTTTGCTTTTATGAAATCTTTATTTATGGAGAATAGACACAATTTACTTTTGGAGGAAACAATTATTTTTCTTTTGCAATAATGATAGAATGCATGTAGTAAAATTGCCTCCCTGAGAAAGAGTTTCTAAAGCAACATGTAATAGAAATAAAAGGAATCATGGAGTTCCACTCGTTCAATCCACAATCATAGCATTACCAAGATTCCATAAGGCACTAGAGATAACTTTAGAAGCATTACTAGTAGTTCCAGGAGCTCCAACTACAACTCCAGGACGATAGACATGGACGACAAACATGGTTAGCCTCGGAAAAATCTATTTTAGTTCATCTTTTACCAGCCTAGACAAGAATAAGGAAAGAAGAGAACGAAGAAGCTCAAGAACCAAGCTCCTCTTGGAGAAACATATAATTGTGATCCTTTGTTACTGCAAATGGTATTCAAAGGGAAAAACATTAATCCAAGAATATCCCAATGTTATCAATTATTTTAAGTGTGCAAGGTTGATTTAGAATCTTCCTGACAAATCATAAATTTTTTGCAAAATCATCAAGATTTCCTAGATGGGATTAGTCAATGTAAACTTCCAAAATCTATCAAAGGTTGACTACTACTAGAGGGTTCAAATTTCTATTGTTAAAGAAGGCATGAATTGTAGTTTTTAGTGTCAAAGTAGCTTCCAACTTTATTTGAAATGCTGGAGCTGAATCTTCTCAGAGAGGAATTCAAGGAGAAGAATTGAAATTACTTATTTGTTTTTATGATATTTTTGTCTTTATATGTGTTTACTGATTTCTAAGATTAATTTATTCCTTTTTTAAATTTGTTTTTCTTCTTTAAATCATTATAAATTTGGTTTTAATGTTTTGACATCTTTAGTTTAATCTTTATAAATAAATATTAAATTTAATCGATAAATAAATGCTAGAATAGACTGAATTCATGTTATTTTTTATTCCAAAACTTCTTTTCTTTCTTAACAGTCAATTTCTCAATCTCAATGAAAACAAAGATTTCGACCTGTGTGTGTGTGTGTATGGAATCAATAGAAACCACTTTAGAGAAGGAGCCAGCCTTATATTCTTCTTTGGTTGCTATTAGAAATGCGAAAGGTAATGGAGACTTTCTCAAGAAGTTTAATATCCTCGTCATGTTATTATGGTAATATCTTTTTGACATACTAAATTAATATATGTTTTGTTTTTTACTTTGTCTCTGGGCCATCCGGGCCATGCACAAATATTGACTTAGCCTTAGAGATTGTCATCTCTCATTGAGAATAAATTTAGGCCATTCACCAAAATTACCTTTGATATCTTGGTCTGGCCTCAACGTGATGATTGATTGAATCTCATTCCATTTTATTTTCTTTTTTAAGTTTTTTAATTGAAATTCTTCTTACATTTAGACTTTTAGGATCAACATCTATGTTAGATTTTTTCACTAGTACGATCAAAAGGCTAACCATAAGAAATGAAGCGTTTTTCTTATTGGTTTTTTTGTGGTCTTCCTTTAGGACTCTTGTAAGCTTGATGATTGTGAAGTGAAGCTAGGTGAAGACCTTTAACAAAGAATGGTAAGGAAATTTTTCTTGGTTTTTAGCTATCAAACAGGATTTTGTATCAATCATTGCCCTTTTCAATAAGTGTTAAAAAGTTTTGATGCACAAGGCCAAGCATCTTGTAACTATTCTAAGCTATCTTTTAATATAGAGGGTTTTTCCTTGAAATCCACTGAGTATTTTGTAATAGAATGTTGACAAAAAAGCCACAACCATGATGACCTTCCATGATATTTCATTTGCTCAAATTAATTGGGGGATCTTGTTATTAGACCATTAAAGCGAATCAATTCCATGCAGAATGGGATGACCTACATTGGTTGAAGGCCAAGAATCTTGGTAAATGTGCTTTGAGATCACTCACTATCAAACAAATATTAACATGCTCATAAGTATGAAGAGCATTTCAAATGCATGCAAGCTGTAGCTATGTTAATTTCTAAAAAGTTTGTTTTAATTGAATGGGTGCTAGCTGATAAGGAGCTAGTTGCCTTTATTGAGCAAACATTGAAGAAGGTTTCTAAAGTGTTTTTTTCTTATCTTAATTTTTTTTGGAGAACACTACTTTTAAAAGTCAAGCATACAGTTTGAGAAAAAATGTTTGAATGTTAGATGCTAAGAACAAGACTATTAACCTAGAGGGGACGATTTTAATTTTATAGATTGAGTCAACAAATGAGTGCAACATCAGAATAAACTATTTTGATATTTGTAAAGAAAGACCTAGCAATATTGAATATTGAAGACGTCTTGAAGTTTGTAATTATGAACTTATGAAGTAGGGCTATTAATTGCCCCTTTGGTGATCAACACTATGCAATATTGAGAGAGAGCCCCCACTTCTATTTTTTTCTTTTGCTTTATGATTGTTGAATTTATCAAATTGAACTTACCCATCCTTCTTTTGAGAGTTATTGAGTTCATAAATTCAAAATGGCCTTGTTTAAGGTTTTTTGTTTTTAACATTTTTGGGTTTGGACTTTCATGATTTGCTGTTTTCAAACACTTGGAAAACTTAGATTAAAATGTTTAAATTTGATTCAAGAAGTTTTGTTAATAATTTCTTTTTGATATTTCTTATATTTTTATTATGAGATAGGTAATGTAGGAACGTAGCTATCCATTGGATCTTGGAGACATTTTTGGCTTTTGAAAAAGATGTTCAAGGCTTAAAAAAAAAAAGGAAAAAAAAAGATAAAACCCTTATTAATTCTAGAAAAATATGACCAAATTTGATTTTTACCATTGTTCCTAAAATTTCAAGAGGTTTTGAGGCCAAAACACCAAAAAATTAAATTTGTTCTAGACTGCGCTAGTATTGAACTAGAGCCCTAGCATTGATTTTATTAGGCTTTTGTGTTAGATTTACTTAAGAAAATCTATGTTAGTGTGAGAGGATATTAGAATAAGATTTATTTAGCACGAAAAAAAAATTACAAGATAAATAAAATCAATTGCTCACCAAAATAATGCAAATTTGAAAGTCACCAAATCCTCTTTCTGTTTGGTCACCAAAATAATGCAAATTTGAATAAGATTTATTTAGCACGAAAAAAAAATTACAAGATAAATAAAATCAATTGCTCACCAAAATAATGCAAATTTGAAAGTCACCAAATCCTCTTCCTGTTTGGTCAGCTACCAAACCATCAAGTCTTGAGTAAGTTCCAT